TAGAAAATTCAAAAATACAGACCACAACACTGAGAAGAGGTATGTTTATTTCAACAATCTTTGGGGCCTACTTTACAAAAAAGAGGGTCTCTGAACAATGGGAAAGCAACGTTTTTTTTTACAGAAGGTGAGGGCTGCAAGCCGGGAAGTCCTAGGCATCTGATTGGCTGGCCAGTTTGGGGGAGCCAGGCAGGTCCTTGTCCGGGTGCCTGGGGTTATTTCTGCTGTTAGGCAAAAGGGCCCTTTCAGGAGGGCAGCAGAGCTGGGGAAGCCCCTGGGCCAAGGGGATGGAATCTTGAGACAGTGGGGGGCATGTCCTTCATCAGGGACAGAATGTTGGGGTCCCCACCTTGTTACTATGTTGCAACTCCCTTCTTGGGGCTGCCCTCCAATCTGTGCTGGGAGGAGGCTTCAGTGGTTCTGTGGGGGCTTTGAGAGAGCTGGGTTTGGCCCTGCTGTTGTCCAAAAGTCAGGGACAAAAAGGGTGTAATCTCCACTTTACTTGCTACATTCATTTTCTCCACCACCCGTCTCCCCAGTGAAAGGTCCCCTGCCTTTCTTTCCTCACCCCTTTGCCATCTCTTCCTTCTCAAAACATGCAGGCTGGGCCCCTACGAGAGTCCCCCTCCACCTCCACTCCTCCTCCTCTCTTGACCAACCCTTTGACTCCGTCTCCTCCTTAGCCAGCCGTGTTCTGCATTCATGTTCTGTGACACCGCCGTCCCGCTTCTCAGCTTGGGTAACACACTGAGATCTTAGGATGCTTTCCAGCAAGGACTCAACACTTCGCCCTGCTACAGTCCTTCGCATCGGCATGGCAGCTGTATAAATCATTTATTTTACCGCATTTCTAAGCCCCTCCTAACAAGCTCAGAATTAGCCCCTGGCCTCTAAATTTAGAGGCTGTGTTCACACGGCATGCTCCCGCACAATCAACTGAACCCTGGTTAGCTCAGCCAGATTTTCTGGCTTTGCCTAGCACAGGTTGGCAGTGCCTCCTGCCCTAAGTGAAAGTGAGGCTGGTAAGTCTGCAGTGTGGTGGGCCAGCGCGGGGAAGCTGCAGACCTTCTGCAGCAAAACTTACAGGACTGCCTTACCGTGTCAATGCAGGCAGTGAGTCTTGCTGTAGAACATCACAGAAAGGACTCTCCTGCTCTCACCCAGTTCCCTAACTTTTGTGGTCATCTTCTGTCTCAATCTTAGTTGTCAGCCCCGAATCAGAAATCTGGTTCCTGGACCGAGCCCTTTACTGGCACTTCCTCACCAAATCCTTCACCGCTTACTACCGACTTCTGATCACCCATCTGGGGCTCCCCCAGTGGCAGTACACCTTCACCAGCTATGGCCTCAGCCCCCAGGCTAAGGTGAGAGCAGCTGCTTCCGGAAGCCTTTTCTTGCTCCTTCATGGCCCTGCCAGCCTCCCCTTTGGGGGAGAGGCTGAAGCCCTGCAGAAGTCTTCCTTTCGAGCAAATTATCGCAGCACGATGGAGAATGAAGTGCCAACGTGCCCCTTTGTTTTCTGTTTAAGGGAAGCCTCATCCCAGCTCAGCAGCTGAAGGGAGATAAATGAACTGTGGTCCCTGGGGTACCTTCCGTTCAGGTTTCTGAACACCTGGCTGCTCCCACCTTCCCAAACACCTGGTCTGAGTCTCGTTTTCCATTCCTCTTTTCCAGCAATGGTTCAACATGTACAAGCCCATCACGGTCAACACGG